TTTTTAGGGAGGCCGAGAAGTATTTAATGTATTATTTCTTTAAAATATACAAACGTGTGTGCTAAAATGCTGCTCCCGTCGGGTTCACCTCTAGCTGGGTAAAAGGGAAAACAACTATTATTATGCTATTTCTCTGAGCTTCTCACTTATCCTTTTGCTGTATAACCAACATTGTACAATCGAAAAAAATAGGAAGGCCAACATTCGCTATCTGTAGTGTCTCAGTGCCCAGTAGCAATTCGAGCTTATGTAAAAGTTAGTAATATGCCACCTGGCGCACAATAAATGAAAAGCTGAAAGCCAACCTACTTTTCAGTAGGAAAAAATGAACCCTCTAAATAACGTTTTCAATGTTTTTTTTTACCAAAGGGCCATCGCCGCATAGTTGACGTACGCCGGTCGGAACCAACGAACGATGATATTATAGGCTTTGTCACATTCCGCGAAAAAGCAACCAATACTACTCAGACCAACACACCAGATCAGACAAAACCATATCGAAATCAGAGTATATCGCTTGTTGTTTTCATCTGTATACTACTGTCAAGAATTCTATCAGTAAATGATTCTAGCCAGGTATACAATTGTTAAATCAGATCAGCAGTAAGAGCCATGGAGCGCCGCTGCGTGCTAATTCTTCTAGCGTCGGTTGCTGGAAGCGATTGTTGTGAGGTCACAGCACTGACTACGACTAGGCAAACGTTAAAGCGTTGACGATGAAGTCCACTGGGAAAATCTGGATATAAAGATTCGCAGTAACAAGTCCGCTTCGAGAAGGTTCCCAGTCGCGCGGTAAATTCTCAGTAACTGAGTCATGATGGTGCCATGGCCAGCAAAAAAAAAAGCCACCGTTCTAGCTAGCTGTGGCAGTTGGCTACAGGATAAAGCTATATCTAATCGACAGACAGCGATTGGTGTCAGTCCATGCGGGAGTTCCTATAGCAAGTATAATAGTAATTGGTTGGCGACGTGGCATTGAACAACGACTAGTGGGGAAAAGTGCAGGCAATATGTACGGGCCAGGACAGGACAGGCTTCTCTCCGTTACTGCACGGTTGTGACGACCGAAAAAAACACACAAGCAGTCGCAGCAGTGGAATGAAAGAAAATGAAATGATCAAGACGGCATAAAGCTACCTTTGTTGCTTGTTCCATTCGGTACATCTCGCCGATGGAAGCGAAAGGCGAAAAGAAATGGCGGGTGTGGCGGGCTGGTAGGAGCAGCAGTCAAAAGACAATGACGAGCTTAAACTGGTATAAGCAGTGCATTGAGGAAAGGCAAAATATATATGTATACATGTATGCACTCGATGGTCGGACACGATACGTGGCGCCGATGAGTTCAAACGCTATACTTGAAAACGAAGCCTGTATAAGTCATGCCAACTAGCCGCTCGTTGTGTAGTAGACTTATGCTTTTCATGATTGGAGCGCCTCCTGAACTAGGGCACTTGGAAACTTGAAACTTGGAGAATGCTCTATCCATAGAGAAATTAAAACATGTTATGTCTGCATAGTTATGTCTTTTTTTAGTACAGTGTTACTTATTCCAAGCAATTTTATTCAATCTGTAAATGGGAGCGCTCGTTTATGGGTTTGGCCTATTTACCACACAACGTGATAGGAGGCAATGTAGGTATTGCGCTACTTCCAGCCACGATTCACAGCTGTTCTTGAGAATCGCCAAATTAATTTTCAAAACGATTATATTTTTTTTTAACGAAAATCCGCAAATCCTATTCGATGCTCTGGTTCAAGTTTGTCCCTGAATCAACCCGTATGTTAACGCTGTAGGTTAGACATAATAACCAATTAATGTTAAACAAATATTCTCTTAACAAAATACGTCTTGACATTAAAATCGAAACTTGCAATAATAATAATAATAATGAGGGGGGTGCATAAAAGCATCCTCCCAGTAAAACCGGACACCTGACATAGACCAATACGCAAATGGTAAACCGTCTGTCAAGACAAAAGTGTAATAAATCCTATCCCCTGCTCTAAGACTCGTTGCGATTTTTGGAGGCACAAACTAGTACAGTAAAAGTAAACTAAATCAGTACAATGGCTCGATAGAATGAAAATGACGTAATCAAGGAGTTGAAAAATGAGCAGCGAACGGCTGGTTATCGGCTTTATGTATCAGCGATCACAAAAACGCTGTTCCATTAAAAGCTGACGCTAATCAGTACTAAGAAGATTATCTGAGAATGACAGACTGTTGACAGCGGTTCGCTACGAGTGAAAGTACATTGATTCCTAACTTTCATGGCTAAAATTCTGTTCTTCATATATTTATTTATATTTGTTGATACAGAATATCAAATTATTGGTTCCTCATTGTTTGTCTTTTTTCGTATGGCAGTATCTTCTATAGAGTGGTGAAGTCAGTAACGGCGCCGTACTATGTCCTGCCCTCCAAACAATGGCCTAAAATACATGAACTATATTTTTTGATGCACATCCGTCGCTGATTTAGAGTCATTTTGGCTGTCCGGTATTCAGAGACGTTAGCTCTTATAGTTAATGTTATCAAATCGAGAAGAAGCTGTCGATATGGAAGAGAAACTAATCTAATAAGCTCCATGGGTTGTGCTGTTATACGATTCTGCATATATATATATTAATTTAAGTGTGCTATAATAAGTGTGTTATGGTTACGTAGTTTTTTTTTTTTGTATTTCGCCATAAATATAGATCTACCGATGTTCTCTCCGCTACTCTATACCAGCTATTCGAACCTTTTTCAGTTTTAAGCGATTAAGACCTAATGCATTATGTCGACCTGGTTTCACTGCTAAGGTATTTGTGCAACGCTACGGAATGCTCACCTATTAAACGCTGGCCTTCATATCGTATCGTATGGCCTGATTCTGATATTACTTGAAACAAGCTCTATGAATCGAGACTGTTTTACTTCTTTTTGAATTTAAAAGTAAGCAAACAATTGGCTATTCAACTGGTACGTGCTGTTCGTTACCTTCTCCTAGATGTCTTACCTGAAACATGGTTATAGTTGCTTTCGTCGTTAATAGTTATACATCTGCTTTCAATTCGTTCTACAATGAGTCTACATGTGGTCATTCTTTTCGTGCCTACTTCGTATGCCAATTTTCAACGCGGTCGATCGCCCGCTGCACCTTCCCTCCACCCTCTAGAAAACGAGTTGGCCTTTTCAAAAATCGCGTTTGTAGTTATGCAGCTATGCTATGCAATGCAAGCGTCCAGTGTCTATATAATAATTTATGTTAAAGTTGTGATATATTCTGAACAGTTATTCAAGTAGTTATTGAACATATTCGAATTTTTCGAAGTTCCGAAAAGTATCTCAAGTGATGTATTTGATTACGATTCCTTCTCGAAATAAGAATAGTCCGACTACTCGTTAGTAGGTAAATAGTTAACTATAAAAAATGTTCGTCTAGTAACTACCTTGAAATAACCAAAATCGATACACATTTCAAACCATCGAATTCACCTAGGGAAAACAACCTATCCATCTATTTGTAAAAATCCATATTTGTTTCTTGGTTCGTTTATCTGAAATAATCTACGTAAAGGGATAGCTTTGGTCTATTTCTTACGGGGCTCACCGAGCTTCATCTTTTTCGTGACGTATATTTTTCCGATTGATTTAATTTTTTCATAAATGAATTTGTCCCTTCTTTACCTCTACCAGCTAACAGGCAGCGCAAGCAGGGGCGAATCCCGCAGGCTGTCCTGAATTAAACTAGAAGTTCTTGTCAGACTCAGACGCCGATCAGGAAAAACGTGTTTCCTTTTTCGGGTGTTACAGTACATAGGGAGTAAACTTATCTTGCATGTAAATCGTAACTTCCGTCGATATTCGGCGATCAGAGAGACTATCTAGAGTGAAAGCTGGTTAACAAGAGCTTAAACGATATGAAGTCAACACTTCTGCCGTTGCTGTACACGGATTAATCACGCCGCCAATTATTATAAGGCTTATTGTGCTCAGATAATTCTGGCTTCCAATTTTTCATTGGATGTCAGCTCCGGCTTTTTGTTTGAAACATTTGTTCAATGCGTTCCGATGTGGCTTATTATATTTCATTAGCGAAGAAGCAACAATGGGATACTGCATTATATTATGAAGTGTACAATAGAATGTAAACACAGTAGAAATAAGAAGCAAAACGATTTTAAATATAACCTTTGCTAAGCTAGTGGTACAAAAGTCACACATAATAATAATAATAATAAAAACAAGTTCCGCTATTGTCCATGTTATATCATTCTCGATTGTTGTTGTATGCTTTAAAGTAGCTTTTCTCTTCCAGTCAACTTACCCATGTTTACTAATTGTACCGTTTCGTTCGGCCGTCAGTGCTTCAAGATGGGGCAATGAATTGCGCGATCCAGCCGGTGGCCGCCAGTCCGTAAATAATAATAAGCAGTCTACTTTGGCCGAAAGCAGTGGCAGATTCGGCTTTCTCTTGTCACCAGTGAGCGCAGAGATGTTGATGGCACGATGCCAGCGAAGACTGATGACACGTCCCTCTTTTTGTTTTATCCACTCTCACGCCGGCGACTCCTCTGAATGCTACGGGCAAACGCACTGGCATAAAGCACGACCACCTCCGCGGCAACAACGACAACGATGAAATATACGCTAACAGAACATGGCGATTCTTAAAGGCTGCAGCAGCTGACTCAGGCTGCGAAGATTTGTCAAGCTGTAGCATTGTTCAAGAACTTCCATTCTATTCAGTCGAAAGCTTCCTCAAAACTTAACACTAGTCAGTAATCTCTGAGCGCACAGCCGGATCAGTCGGAACAACAAAAAACACAAATTATTCCGGTGATACGCATTCACGTAGACAGTCAAATACTTCTAATATTGACAAAAATTATAGATAACTTGGTGATAATTTCGATCTCTGTTCACGGGATTTTTTTCACAAACTTTTCTCCTTTTTGAAAACTGTTCTTCCTTGTTTTGTCGTTGCACTTCTTGTTGTCGTTAGACAGCGCTGGTGAATACCCCGACGGCTGAAGCGATACCAGCATCACCTTCCGTAACACTGATGTGTTGGATCGAACGCGTCTAGCCAACGACAGAATCTGCCACTCTGTCGCGCTGCTGCCAGACACCCTGTCGGAGCCGGATTGGGCCAACGAGTCAGACTGCACTAGAGACGATTTGTCTCATTGGTATATTCAGCGGTGAGCCAGAAAGGGGTGGTGTGGGCCCGTGAGCCAGAGGCAGCACCGCCGGTAGCAGCCAAGAACAGAGACAACCCTCTGCTAGACAATTATTTGCTCTGGCTAAACAGCGCGATCACGTCTACGGCGACTGGACGATCCACCTACCGATCGATCGACCGACCGACTGACTGACCGACCCCAAGCTTTGAAGCACCACTTCCTGGTATCTAGCAATATTGGTCACGTTGATGGCAGAACCTTGTACAGTATCAATGAGGAGCGCTTGCTTTACTGCCTTGCCTTGTTCGATACTTCAAACTTGCACATGTGCGACGGCAGTTGGTGCAACTTTTGCTTATTGAAAATCCTGCCGTCCCTGTCTCAAAATGTAAACTCGTAGTAGTAGGCACGTCGTAGGTTGGCACTCACTTGATTGTCGAGGAGGTGATGGTCACTGTGGAAGAGCGGCAGGCGGGCGATCAATGGATAATATAACACGCCAAAAATCATAATAATATCCGACCGAGAAATATTCCATTCGTAAATTTCACAGGCGACAGGGATGCACAGATCACCTGTGCTAGGAAGCTCAAAAAGCTATTGGCAGTGGTCGGAAAGCTCTATCCAATTGTCCGCTCGCTCGTGCATTTTGTTATTATGCCAGCCTGGTTTTGCATGGGGCTAAATCGTGTGCCGTGTTGCTAGTAAAATTAGGCCGCAAGTGAGCTACGAAGCAACCAACAGTAAGGTCGAAAGACTCGAGAGCACTTTTGAAATGTCGTCTCGGTAATTTTTCGGGCCGAGAAAAGTGTGTGTGTCCCCACAGCTTGGCGCCTGACACACCTCGCTCAGGCTTGGACCGACTTAGGCTCTCTCAGCACTGGAGTGTAGTAGACAGCGATACCGAAAGGTTAGATGCTCCCGCGCCACACTGCACTACCCTGTTCTGTTGGGCTATTCGACGAGGCACACCCCACTCCGCGAGAGAGCAGTAGTCAGTAGCAGCGGCAGCAGTCAGCCAGCCCCGTAGGAGTGCTAGCAGTAGTCGTGGACAGCGGAACAGCCAGCATCAACCTCATATCACACCACCACTACTACGAGCACTGTTCGTTTACCAGCATTCACCTTCGAGCGACCAGCCTGCCTGGCTAAGCTCGGACAGAGATAGCTAGAGAAATGGGGGGGAGGGGAGGGGGAAAGCTCTTACCGAAGCCTTCGACTCCACTGAAGGCCAAAGAGTCTGAGTTGTGTCGTTGAATTGAGTCGAGCAGCAGTCGAGGAGGAGCAGAGCGCCGGACGATAGTGAGAACCTCCGATCGAGAGGAGTCCCCGTGGCTCCCTCTGTCCAGTGGCCTGGGAACTAGTCGAACTTACTCGACAGTATATTTCTTTCGCGTTTTTGCAGGCTGACTCTGATACTCCTGATGCTGGTGCCAGCAGCTGGGCTGGGAACAACAGTGCGAACAGTCAAGTGCCATCTGTTTGGGAGACGCGGGTCAAGTCCCGTCCACCGACTGTACTCGACCCGCAGCAACAAACAGAACGGTAAACCTGTCCCTCGTTAGATACTCCTATTAGACCGCTCCTTGTTTGTGTATCCTGCTGGTAAAAACACTGAGACGCACACGCACCGGTTTGCTGTTTCTGTTCTCTGTCTGTTGCAGTTGATCGTGTCTTAACGTTTCGTCTCTCAACGCAACGAACGGCTCCCCTCCTTTTCATTCTTCACAGAGATTCAGAATTTACTCACATACAATGATTACAGCAGCAGCAATCATATCTCGATATATTCCCGTTTCTTTATCAGTTTTCAGTCGAACATTGCACTTCACTCACATGCGACCGGTTTTCAGATAACAGTTTGTTTTCCGCCGGTAGCCATCTAGTGTGGTACAAAGGGAGAGCAAGCATGGTCCGATTTTTCTTCTAACCTGTTTACCCCACCCCCCGCCCGACCCCCCTCTTACTTAGGTTCAAATAGCGCCAGTGTGTTATCGACACTGCGTTAGCGCTGCTAGAAGTACTTCTACTGTATGATACTCTGCGGCACTGTATATTTGGTATGCCGCTGTTGCCGTCATTATCGCTGCCGCGCTAGACACGGAACCAAAATCGGGAAAACAGCAGTACCAGCGGTGACACATTCAACGAAAGACAACGGCACCCAACGGCTCCTGAAGCTCCAGTGTAGAGTAGTCAAATCAAGCACGCAGTACAACCGGTCAACAACACAACGCCACGGTAGAGTGATCCCAAACCTTCTTTCTCAATCCCGGCCACCTTCTCGCGACCAGCGACGCTCGACCACAGACGCCTTTCTGATATTCGACATACTCAAGCGGCTCATGTTGGTACTGCGGGTGCGTATGGGTGTGTGAGTGTGTGCGTACATGAGCTTCTTCTCCAAAAGAAGCCAGCTGTCAGCGTCCAATGACAGCCAACAGCTATCCGATCCGTTGACATTAAACATAGAAAATGAAATAATCCACAAAGGGACCGAAAGATGTTTATGACTTTCTTGTGAAATATTATAAATTAGACGGCAAAAGCAAATCAGCGGTTTGCTGTCACGGCATGTACAAGAAACAGTACTAGTCATTAGAGCCTGTGTGAGATTTCTTGATGACCGCAGACCATTAACTATCACAATAGGTGGCATCTGTTACGGGAAGACTTTTTGATTGGATATCAGAAGACCGAACGGAACACGACTTCCATATCTATCGGAATGCGTCTGCAATAGCCATTGTTAGTCCTCTCCCTCTTTTTGCAAACCGTAAAATTCTTAAACATCTTAGTTTTCGATGATTTCTATCAATAATACATTTTAGTAGTTATATAGTTGATTTTACTTTGTATTAAGGAAGATAACATTGAACGATTATAAAACAGCGGACAGTCTTTTAGACCCACGTTGTAGATGCAATCACGTAAGGTGAGGCGTGCTCGGAAACGGCGTAGCGATAATCTGACGATTTACCCTTTAGGCGAGTCGCGCCCTAAAAAAATGAGTATTGCGAAAAGAAGTGAGGATTGCACGTTTACGTTCGTGAACGTCCGAAGCACATTTGAAGTACATTAGAAACTATGAAGGGCACGCGACGGGCCTAATCGGCTTTTGTTTGTAAGTTTGTAAATTTTATAAAATTATAATTCTTGCGATAAAATCTTTGTATTCTTAATTTATCCCAGCTAACATAAAATTATAGTTCCAAAGAATATTCCGCATAAAATGCACAATTTGCTAAAAATTTTAAAAATTAACGTATAGTTACGTATAGTTCGTAAAATTTTTGAAGCAGCGGCTCCCACAATAGGACAATGGTGAACAAATGGGAGCGGAGCATCAATCAAGAAGTAAATCAATTGTTGTGTAGGTAAAAGCTACAGCCGGTATAAAATACGAACGATGGTTCTTACAAAACGTTGATTCGAACAGAACGACAAGTGATTTTGTTTGAAGTCTATTCATTGCTTTTCCTAAATTGTGCCACTTATCGGTTTACTGCTTCTAGACTTTACGTTGCAAGTTTTTACGGGATCGTAAGTGACACAGTTTTTATTATATGTATAGAATAATAATGGATAATAACGATCATGGATGTCGGAATATCGATCAGATTCATTCCGAAGTCAATCCGTACATCCACGGAGAAGCAAATGCGGTTACAGAGCATCAGAGAGCAATACATTTATCGAAGCGCGTTTCTGCTTACGGCATTATGATTGTGGGCGAGTTATTGTTCAGCGGTCATCCACGGGCACCAGCCACAAACCTCAACAACCTCCGCCGGGTTACAACTGGCCCTTAACCAGCAGCAATTATGCCATACGCAGACGCCGTTAGATACATTTAACGATTTCGATGTTTTTAAAGAAATTAGAATATACGATGTGGAGCCGTATTGCGATGCTTGTCTTGATTATATTATTTGCTTAGTTCAGCTGGCGTATTTATCAGCACCGCCGGCTGTAATTACCAGTAGCTGACTGTGCGGTCACTGTGGGGCCTCTCTCCATCTCAGAAGCGCGTTCCAATCGACCATTTGTCACCAAACTGGACCAAATTGGACCAAAGACATTTGTCCACTCATCAGTCGAAGCGAACGACCTGCTGAACACAGTCTTGATGCTGTCAAATTAGAAGAGCTCTGCTACAATCGAATTTGGTGTATTCAAGACCAGTAGGAATTCGTGGAAGAGCCATGCATCTTAACCAGATGATTATCGTGCTTTACTTAGTAATCCAACAAATTAATTCCGAAAAACACTTGATTGAGCGAGTGATACGTTCACTACAGGAAATGTTCGAATAGTCTCGATCTTAATAATTTCCAAGTAATTTCCGCACCAGCGTCAATTATAATTTTTAACTTATTTCACGTGGAATACATCGTCACGGCTACAGTGACCCCATGAACTACAGATACTTCGGAAAACACCGGGTGAATTCACGGTTAGTGCGCCACCGCGAACGATTTCGACTGTAATATTAGCGGTTATTCTAAACAAATCGATAGCCAATCCGGCTCCCGGACAAATGAGTGCCGTATACAATTTGCGGCGTTCTGTTAGCGCACCTGTAACAAAAACCTCAATGGCCGATAATAACTTTTTTACATGCGAATTCGATGCTGGCTAAATATCTCATCGTCAACTAAACAAACGTGCTAGAAGGAGGTCTATAAAAGCCAATCAAGTGCCGTCAAAACTTCGTTACGCATAAGTAGTTCACGTTGTAGCCTCTTTTCCTAAACACAAAGGAAAGGAACAGTTAGTTAGTTTACCCTGTGTTATCCAAGGACCTCGCGCTGTACAATCTTGAGCAGCAAACTGAGCTAAGTAAACTGGGACCATGTTGGCAAAGTCACAAAATAATCGCAGGTTTTATAAGTAGGAGACGACCGTAGAATTCACTGTGTCAAGCTGCCGTTGTGATGGTCGACGATAACGTGCCCCATTGGAAATGCCATGCTATTGTCAAACGACCGTGTCTTACGATTAACGATCGCCAAGATGCAAACGTGGCGTTCCTTAAAAAAATAGCGTCTCTCTAAGTACGTTTAACATTTTTTTTCTTATTTAATGACACTTGTTGTAACTTGTATTTAATTTGCCCATTCTTCTTCTTATTATGCCCTTCTCTCGCGATCATCGTCGAAGCCACCACTACGCTTCTATAATGTTACAATGAACCGTGATGATATGATAATCAAGCATACCGTTTTTAGGTGCAAATATGCCTAGTAAGGTATTTTGAGAAGAGAAGTCATCTCGGATTCGGCAAGCTTCTGCCTTTATTTACGCAGTAACTTAACAACATCGTTCCGTTTGCATCTATTACTTCTGCTATTACTTCTGCTGAATCGAAGCAACTAGTTAGCCAGCCATAAGCCATTAACCTGTACTCACGCCGCAAGGGGATGGAAACATGGAGAAGACAATTCTAATAAAACCGCTAAAATTTTATTTATTTCGGCTTATATGCTTGTTACAAATGGTATTGCGATTAGAAACGACATGACTCTTCTGTACGTAACGTTTTAGCGAGACTCAGTGTCTATCTATTAAACAGAGTATTTTGATCGATTTATTGGCAAAAAATTAAAGACAAGATGGACTTTCTATTAGGTGACGGGCATATTGCACGTTTAGCAAATAGATCGTCTGTTGCAGATAATGTATAAAATACGCATATCGTATTACTTTTATTACCGAATAAAACGTTTCGGGAATATCTTGCTTCGTCAAGTAGACGAAAGGAAAATTACTTCGAAACGCTTCTGCCCTACGAAGTTGAATCTAATTACTTCTTTTGGTTTGGTTGCTTGATAATTAATATACAGCAATTTATGTAGCATTTTCAAATAACACTATTGTTCCTATAACAGCGTACCCTTCGTAAACCATAGTCAGCCAGAGATACCGAATGTGGCGTTCATAAAGTAAACATGGTTTTAATAAGAACATACGCCATAACTGTTACATAAGTTGATATCTTACTCTGTTGTTGAGCTCTTACATCTTGTTGCTGATGTCGACGTCAGGGATTTTCCCCTCAGTAGACAACTACGCTTACGGCGACATCACGTCTCAAGATTCGACCAATGCTGTACTAGATCCTATAAGGCAATAGACATATTAGATCATTAATACCCAAAAGGCTAATAGGAGCAAATCTGACGCTACAAAATGGGAAAGACTAGATAGCATAACAAAGCTCAGCTGAACAGGTCTACCAGCCGCGTTGACCGCAAATACAGTCAATGACAAATAAAAATGAGGGCAAACGAGGCCGAATCATTCTCAAGACTACCAAATCGAGTAGCTTATGGCATATGCGGTATGGAAATCGTGGCAAACCTTTCACGCATCCGATTGTAAAATGGCAAGCAACATTTGGCAAACTTGCGAAAAATGACCAGCTATGAATGCTAGACAAAAAGATGCATCACTGCAAGCAAATCTTGGACGTTATGGGAACATCACAGCTAATAACATAATAATGTGTTACAAACTCTTCTCAGCCGATCCTTCTTCCACAAGATGATTCGTTAGGGAAATCCACTGTAACCAGCTCTTGGATATGCTGAACCGCTTCTCTCTGAATTCTCCACTTTTAAAATGAGACAGGCAAAAGAATTATTTCAGACGGAATATTACTATACGTATCTATATGCGCTACACGTTCAAAGTTTATTGGAAATCAACAGTATAATGTCTAGAGAAATCCCAGTAAGTTCAGTGAGATCTTCCTCCCCGGCTACGCTTTCCACCAAGGGCAAGCCTACATATGATACTGACGAGGTAATTTTGTTCACGAAACAAAAACAAATGATTGATTCAAGTGAGAAGCGATTGTGTACGCACAAAAAACTGACCTGCGTTAATCCATTATGAAAAGAAATACACCGACGTTTTTGCTCGCTAAGTAAGACAACCTTAATAGCGTTAGGCTATACTCACAAATGGCCACGCAAATACGTAGACAATAAAATGAATTATAAACGTGGTCATAAATAGATCAAAGGAACTGTCTTTGCATACAATATAGATATCGAACGGACGTTCTGTGAAGACTCCTGCTAGTTCTCAGGAAATTTCAAGTATCGTTATATAGCACGGCGTCATGATTAAAAAATGTATCTGTAGTATAGTATTTTGCTGGGCTCTTTTAGAGGAAAAGAAAAAGAATCTTGAGATTATCGAACAAACATCTTCAATTCGAATTTGGTTGTAATCGACTGAATAAAAACATTTAAAAAAAGGTAATTCGTACACCTCCCCGAATCGAGCGTGCCACGATACTGCATTACACCAGTGAGGATAAACTCACTCAGGTCTTCCACCTGAATTTTGCCCGTTCGATTACTGATCAACGAGAGAAGACGCGAATAAAGGCGGTAATCGATCCCGATCTTCTTGTTCTTCCTGATTTTGGCTTTTTTTCATCATACGCTTGATGTGTTGCTTATAATGCGTTTGACAAACGCAACTCCTCAATAGAAGCATAAAACTGTATCCGTGCATGCAGTTTTGAACGCGAGTATAACCAATCGCACTCTTGCAAATTATGGTAACTATAGCCGTGAGTAATGCCGTAATACACTTGGCTATTTCAAGTGAGAAATAGGAAGGTAAAACAAGTTGTTTTTGAAGGTAATAAGGTTTAGGTAGCGGTACGTACGCAATGCGTGAGCTTCAAAAAACGTTACCCGCGTCCGGCTTCCTTTCGACCAATCGTCCAGTAACCATCATCACCCGACGCTGCTCATGGTAGGTATCAACGGGATACGAACGTGCTACGGCACTGTGTTGGGTCGCGTCAGCAGACTAAAGGACAATTAATCGACAGCAGAAGATAGAAAAACTTGACCAACACAAATTTAGTAGACATTAAATGTGCTAAATGAATTATCTAATCTATATTCAATACTATCGATAAGGGAACCTGTATGCACCGTGTTAGTAAACTTTACTTGTGCATTTTTATTCCTATGGGTAAATGTCATACCTTAGCATTGGCCTGTCAGAGACTCTGAATGCTGTCTGATCAATGCTACTGTATCATCTGACTGAGCATATCAGTGTAGGTATTTCGTAAGCACTACCGACGCGAAAGCCCACGACGATAGCTTGTTGTTAATCTATACCATTCGAACTAGCGACTCCTCGATATATTTAAGGACCTAAGGTATACCTCCGCACTTTCTACCACCCCTTCTGCATAACAAACATGTACAAACATACAGTGCTTTTGAAGACAAATATACCTATGATAATATTACTTACCTATCGACACGCATGTGTATAAGGGCAACGAAACCGTTCATCCAAACCTATGTTTTACTAAAGCGGCTACAACTCTGTTGATGAGTATGCTTGCAAGAACCTAGATACCGACCATTCCGAGAAATTAGTTCTACGATTTTCGTAATTGGGTAAGTTAGGTAATTGGGCAAGTACCCAGTGGTAAAAACGACACATGCGAAAAACACGGCGTTTAGTAGAAAACAACGTTGTCGATTCGTGGCGTGTTCGATTGCTAACGCTACTTGATTTTCCGAATTCCATACAATAAACAAATTTAAATTTTCTATTTCTTTTTATACCCTATCGACTACGGAGTTTTCCTCAGGAAAGGTTTCAAGATAGCGATGTCATCGTACTGTATGCTCCTTCGCTTTTTTGGATGGCAAAGGAGGCACACGATAATTAACATGGGGTATTGGTACGACTACGAAAAGCTTACAGAATGACTAGTAGTAGATTAGCTGACTCTGGGTACTCAAACAAATGAAGTACAATCGGGGAACGGCTCAAAAATATGATCGAGTTACTGGCGCTGACTGATGGCATAAAGCAACAAAGTATAATGATTCGACGATGCAATCGGTAATTTGAAACATAGTCCTTAGAAAATTATCATGAAACTGCAACTAACTAACAAAAATAACAATCTGACAAATTTACCAATTCGACTAGGCAGAGCCGGGTAAGCCCTTGTCATTACGTGCAGGAACAGAAAAAAACAAGTGTATAGGTCTGGAGTGTTTATGACTGAAAGTGAAAAATTAAGGACCTTAACGATTCTACATGTATGAAACTCTTCGCTATTATATTCTCAATTGCGCTTGTTTTTACTGTTTTTTTTTAGCGTTGCCTTTAGATAGAAAAAGGATATATTAAATCAAGAGATTATTTTCGATCGATTTTCTAAGACCGTATATCGTTATGAAACGCACACATCGACAATGTACTAAGTCTCTAATAAGAAAATTTTATAAATATCTTACCTACTAATTCTAAACGATTCAGACAAAATTGTTTCCTTATCAAATGAGTGTCTTTATGAAAAATTGCTGATTATTTTTGGCTTACAAGGAATTTGTTTTTGGCCGTCAGGTCTTTTCACACTGCCGTCTACACTATCTGCCATACGCAAGCAACGTTCTTGACCCCGCTAGCCTACAATCCTTTATTATTGATGTAAATACATATGAAACCTGCCAAAGGCATTGGTTATAAATCCGCATTGTTAGATTTCCCTTCACCTGCTTGCTTGATAACTTTACATATACCCAGTTTGCGTTTAAAGAATTTCAATCGGCTTAGACACACAAAAGCGGCGCAAAAACGTTGTAAATCTTTGAAGAGCAAAGCCTGCTATGGACTCAAAGTTTGTCATTAGCCTAAGATAGAATCCTCTTTGCTCTGGCTAGCATATAATTGGGCCTTGTGCCTTCAGTGCGGACACCATATAGGCGAGTAATGCGTGATCACTACACGACTGAGATATAAGTACTTCGTCAGCTCGCAAACTAAAGCCTTTTGGCGGTTGAGATACTACTAACCGGAAATTAAGTAGACGATTTTTAAAACAACTCTAGTAGTTTAGGAGTTTCCAATTTTATATATTTGAGCTGTTTTACCCAAGTCGTCCTGTAACTAATTTCCTTATTTCAATTAATTTTAGAGTCCGCATAAGACATTATTTTCAGAATTTTTTTTAATAGGGTATTTCTTCACCTTCCTATTTAGTAATATAAATATGTTGGATTGCGCTCGTTTATTTTTGAACAAGCACGATTTGCCAAGATGTTGGGATGAGAACTGACCTGCTTTCGAGGATTCTGAGTCGGGTCTTATATCCCTGGCACTCCAACCTGAACCCTCGCAACAGGAAAGTCCTGTTTGCTCTTTCTGCTGCAGCCGTGGTCCAGCGCCACCGTAAATATCCGTACGCGATGCTGGCGGGGCTATGATCATTGTCATCATCATCACCTTCATTGTACAACACAATGATCAGCAGCGCGCTCCACCGTTTTCTCTCGTTCCCTCTCGTCCTTCTCGCAGATTGCCCTTTCCCGACGTCGGTGGAATGAGTGGCAAAACAGACACTGAGGTTGACTAACGCTAAGACTCCTGCCGTCGTCCATCGCAGGTATCTCTCCACTAACCCTTACTCTTTCACCGGTCACTCGTGAGTGCTGTGTCCCGTAAATGGGGCGATTTCCATCAAGTCCATCGCCTATATCTGGGATATTACTCGATGGTGGTGTCTGATGACCGAAACGGCGCACAGTGCGTTGGACTGCTCGTGTTCTTGGTGCTGCTACAGCTACGATTGCTGCAGCTGCTATGAGCTGATGGTCGTCCGCCTGATGGCGGTAGTATGGTGAGCTTAGTTGAGCGCCGATGATGTTAGAAAGGGTTGCGAGATGCTCTTGTTTACTCCTGCTAACTGATTCTGCTGTTACTGCTTTTTTGGCCGCGAGCAGTCGTTAGGTGGAGATGTTATTGGTGTTTGGTATAGTAGTGGAGGCAGCAGTGATGCTAATATAGACGCTGTGAAAGGACTGCTTAACGATAACCCACACGCAGGGACGACGACACAGCCACCTGCACTGCGTGCTTTTGTTTCTTGCTTTTTGGCTAACACCTCAAGCATCATAATTTCTCGCTTATCAGTCGCAGTCGGAGAAAAAGCGCGAGTGAACAAAAAGAAGGGGTATTAGAGTATAAAACAGACGGAGAGAGCTGACGGGCGGGCGGGCGGGCGGGCGGGGGTCAAACGGGCGACCTCACTTAGTTACCCTCTCCGTGTAGATCCGCGTCTGTGTTTGTGTGTTCCGTGCAAGAACGCGGATAGCGACAACGAGAACTGCTGTTCCCAGTGCGAAAATGTGCATTGGTGAATTGTTTTCCGTGTGAAGAAGAGAGGAGAATGTGCTGCTGGTGTTGATAACAGGAAGGAAGAAGAACCAGAGCTGGCCATCCGCGCCCCGCACCAGCAGATCAGGATTAGTTGTGTGGTGGCTGTTTGGCGTTCGGCTTCCACATCGACAGCGCGATCGCGCTGGTGGGTTATACGTTTGATGCTTTCGTTAACAGGGTTCAATGAGCAAGCAGCAACGGCAGAATAGTGGCACAAGTCCTACTATTATTTCTTCTACTAGTGCCTGATTCCTTGATTGGTCTAGATGCTGATTTTTCTGCTGTTGCTATTGTACTTGAACTGTACCTGCGCCCCTCTTTCCCCGTCCACCCCAAAACACCCGCACGACTTTATGCATGGATGCTGTGTACGAGTGCGACGCGGTATGTGAGGTTGGAGTACAGTATGCTGTCCTATGCTGTTCTAGTAGGACTGTTTTCGCGTGCACGCGGGCGTGCGTTTTCGTACAAGTCAACCAACGGGGAAGAAAAATGTTAGAGCAACGGCCTATGCGAGGGTTACTAAAAAACTCACTGTTCTCTGCCAGTATTGACGCAGCTGAAAGAAAGCAAGAGAGCACCTGTTCATCTCGTCGGCTGTTGGCGGGCTCCTCGTGTATCGCGTGAACATCGAAACGTTGATAGCGGCATCAGCCACTGCATCCATCAGATTCTTGAGCGCACCAAACTGTCAGCAAATGGTCACCCTGTAATCCGCGAGCTCTCTTTCGACGTTTCGTCCCAATAACCGTTGTTCTTTTACCCATAATCCCAGCACAATACAAGCGTCTTTGAATTAACCATTCGAGTGTAGTAAGCTTGATCGCCAGTGGAAAATTACAGCGAAATCACATCCACTATCCTTATAGAACAGTCGTCGTCATCGTCATAACAAGTATTACAAATCTCTTCCTTCTTAATATTGCTCTAGTGCCCGTCGCGCCTCCCTCTCTCGGGCGCGTTACAGTTTTTCGTTAAATTTGTGGTTAATAACAGCAGCGTTGCTCCATCTTTTTCCATATAAACAACGTATTAGGTCTGCGGCACCAACCCATAACATGTGCTTTTTCTTCTGATGGCTGCCTTAACGATTGTTCATCGTGCATTTATGGTGACCGTATTCGCCACCAACAATGCCGATCTTAAAAGCAGAACTGCAGAAGACTACGTTGCAGCAGACTAACGATGACAAGCAACGGGAAGTGTCATTGGAGAGACGCCCCCATTGGCAGTACTGCTACTGAATCTAATCCCCGGCACGGCGAAGGCAAAAGCAGCAGTGACTACAGTCGAGGGAGGCGACTTGTTATCCGCTATTTCACTGATCGGTCTAAGTAGCATGTTCCCGCTATAGGGTCGCCGCTATCCACTAAGATTAAGATGAACGGGTTAATTCGCGCACCCGCTTCACGCCATGCTGCTGTTTGTGTAGTAGGGCAATCCGGATAATCGGAAATCTAGCGTAAGACGATCTGAAGCACACCGTGAATTACCTACTCATACAATGATTGCAAAGCATTCAATGTTTGCTGTCGTTGCTGCTTTCGACAAAAGAATAGCTAAACAATTAGCTAATCTTAAAAGTCGACGATAGATTACGGCTGATTCTGTATTTGGCAGTGGATGCTACGTCTAAACGGCTACCTGATGGGCCCTGATGATGTGGCGCCGTTTTCATTGGCAATAATTGCTTGATTATTATACCAGTTTTAATCGGATTGCTCATATGGTATGGCATGCCAACCTGTTTGTCACAGCTCGGCGATAGAAACGAGAGTTCAACCGCGGCATAGTTGAACCTCGTTGGGCATTCAATAAGAAAGCTGTCAGTGCCTTGAGCATATCGGATTAACCTATGACGAAAGTAGAGAGAGACATTACCAGTTTACAATGTTATGATTCTCGAACAGTTAAAGGCTAGGCTTCGCGGCATTAATACCAGCTCGTTTGCCGTGTCAATCCGATCCGTAACGCTATCCAACGCATTGGAATAGGTTGTAGCAACATGGAACGGACATGCCTTGTAGAAGATGTCAGAAAATTACAAATCGAGCTTATCACAATAGCAATACTATGTCGAATCTGCACTGGCACAGTTGTTACGAACCGAATCGAGAACGAAATGTGCCTGCAGTGGTTAGCGAACTGGTTCTAGATGCATTTGCAAGACTACCTCGTAATGGTAAACCTTCAGACGCTCAGTGGACCGTATTGGCAGGCTTCGTGGCAGTCCCCACTAGCGAAACTGAAGACGGCAGTGATTCTGAACAGGCCCAACTGATATCTCTGGCCACAGGAACCAAATGTTTGGGACGTAGTCAACGACGCCCGGAACTCGTTTGCGACTCGCATGCGGAGGTGCTTGCCCGCCGTCTGTTCAACAGACAGCTGCTGGATGAAATCCACGCAATCTTCACCGGTAAATCGTCACAATTTTTGTCTTTTGACTCCAGCGGACTCTGCGCTTGGCGGCAGAATCAATACTCATTATACTTATACGTGTCGCGTGCCCCATGCGGAGATTCTGTAATTTGTGATAAAGAACAAACTACTTTCCCCGCTGCCCTACTTTTGCCCGGCGAATCCACTGTGTCGTCGTCGTCTTCATTAAATGATGTGGTTGTTCTTGCTGCTGAAACTGCTACTGGCTCTTCTGATATTCACCGCACAGGCGCCAAGCCTGTTCCTTCTGCTGGTCAAGATCCTCGCCGCACAGGCAAGGAATACCACGCTATCGGTCTACCCCGTACAAAACCTGGTCGCGGCGAACCCACGGACTGCATGTCGTGCAGCGATAAAATATCTCGTTGGGTGGCGTGTGGCGTCCAAAGTAGGCTACTGGCTACGTTTTTAGCTGGGCCAATCCCCCTAGCTGGTCTAGTACTTGGAGGCGACGTCTTTGACGAGTCCGCATTGCGCCGAGCATTTCTCGAGCGCCACTCATGTCCTCTTAACACGCTAAATCTGTGGCCTGCTCCCAATGCAGGCAAGAGCACGTTCCGTCACGATCGTAAACAAGGCGCCGAGCGATGCTCTACGAGCCTGCTCATTCGCCGAACTGGTCAACAGGAAATAGCAGTTGACGGGCGGCGTCACGGTATTGTCAAGAAGCACATTGGCAGCCCTAAGGCCGAATTAAGTATCTGCCGGCGTCAGTTGTTGCTGACGTTCCGGTCACTTGTTCGCGAGTTACTTGAGGGTCAAGGGACGGAAGCATATGCGAGACTGGCACCCCTGTTAACGACGAGCTATGCTGATACTAAATTGAAATCGACACCGGCGTGGCTCACGGAAAGGCGGGCCCTCTTCAATGCTAAGATGCTCCACTGGACAACGAAAGACGCTCAGGACTTCTACCCTTAACATTCACTTTGAGCATGCTTCGCCAAACTTTAGTTCCGCCAAAGCGTAGTACATAAATCATTGCAGACCCCCTTATCAACGTTGTCTGTTCGAGTTGTTGAGTCTTACTGTTTAAATTAGCTATCATCAATTAGCAGGAATGAACCAGAAACGATACTTTCTTTATCCAGGCGAAGTAAGCATTTGCGCCAAATGTATATTCACCTTACTCTCCTTGATCATGATATCACTACTGCTACCACAGAAATATTTAATATTGTACGACATTAAGCACCGAGGGCAGATGTGTCTAGCGTCACAAGCTGCAGGTCTCATCGTTTCATACTAGAAGTCTTCGATTTGCATGTGCATGCATAAAATTTCCCAGCGTCACCGCACTTTCAAATAATGTTATATAGTAGATCTGAGACAATTACAAGAAATACTTAGTTAAGTTAAAATAAAGACATATGTTGCTGTTGTCATGCACAGGTCTATACATGTGGTTGAGGTTTTTATTTGTGGCCACTCCTTTCGTAATCTAGGTTTTGGTTCTACTTGTGGGCAAGTTGAGATTCTACTCGGCACTAGAAAGCTTATAATAAAACCAGCATAGCTAGTGCGGCTGGTAGACAGGCAGGCAGGCAGGCAGGGCCTAGTCTCTCTGTTAGCTAGGACTAGGCACGTAAAAACAGGCCGCTCTTGAATGATTGCCGCAAAAATTTGAGCGTTGTTGATGGACGAAGTGCCATTAGAGGGAGGTGCAGTGGCTCGATGAGAGAAAGAAGACACCTCGTGGACTAAACACCTGCTTTACTTGCGGGACGCGCTCTTCTGTCCAGTGTTTGCCTGGCCTTTGATATGCTACCGTTGGAAGCAGCAGTGGCGCGGGCTCCATGTCGTGTGTGTATGCTGCTAGTGTGGTGCGCCGGGAGGCGTCAAGGCTGATTGGGAGTTTCTTTTTTGGATAGCTGCCGCCGTTGCTGGCACTGTACTGACTGCTTTTCCATCTCTGTAGTGTTCCGCCAGAAGGCGCGGCAGCAACGGTAGCAGCTAGCGTTCGGCAACAGGGTCAAGCGATCACTTCGAGTAGCCGTAGCAAGTCGGTTCCCACTGTAACATTCCACTCGACTGGCTAGCCGTATGTACCGTTCAGTGCCAATCAACCATGTCGTTATATGATGACTTCAGCGCATAATAATCGATGGATGATGCTTTCTCACGCATTATTGCATGCATCTGAGCAGCAGCACTCGCCGTAGGCTAGATATACCGATAGGTACTATTATGTCGATCTGTAGATTTCAATCAGCACACTAAACCGCCGCTAGCGTGCATATCGACTCTGGCGGTGAACTTTTAGCCATTTTTAGTTGCACGCTATTGCCGCCGTGGCCGGGTGCCGCTCCTCTCAGCTGTGTGCAGATGTGCACAGATAGATTGAGAGAATCATCACTTGAACTAAGGCATGTGAAACAGAATATATTTAGAATAAATATTTGTATTACTGTTTTTAGCTTGTTGCGGCTGCTGGTGTGTTGTGCCTTGAACTTATTAATGGAAACACGTAGACAGGTAATTTTATCTGCATCAACTACATAGGGGACAGAGACAATAAGGGGTCTTAAAACGTAGACAGAAACCCCTAGTTTTGACGTTTTCGGCAATGGCTGGGCATAATGTGTGCGTTCTAATTTCATTGTGTGGCCAATCGTGAGCTTCACCTACATAACGCTTAAAATTATTGCCTTTAGTTTCATTTAATTACTGACTGATGTGTTAAAATAGACAGTTACGTCATGCAAAGATGAGGAAAAGAGGTTGAAAGACGGGCGAGCGTGTTTTGGTGGAAGCCAAATCAAGACGATAAACCAATTTCCTGGCGCTGAGAGAATCCTGAGCTTCACTGCCATCTTGCACTTCATATGTAAACAAAGCCTATGCAAGACCTCCATAAGAGCCTATAACATATTCCTGGTTCGTCTTGTCCTGCTACATAAAGCGCAATGAATAGTTAGTAGACCGTACACCTCAAGGTATACCTTTTCTCTAACACGGACACATCCGATGAAACAAAATAGAACACAACAAGACAGACAAGTGTATCTAGACATAATTATTACGATCTAATGTGAATTCAATATATAATTAAGTAGCTACTTGAGAGCCGGTGGAATATCGGCCGGTAGTCAGTCGGCGTTTCCTTTACCAGCTGGAGTGTAACAGAAGGGCTAAGGAGACCTGTTATTAGTAATATTTAAATGATACAAATGCTGTGATGCGATCTATTTGGTTTGTAGTCCACTTTCAGCCTAGATGATAGTTAGATGGCGATTTATACAGAGAAAGTAAGTTATAGTTTATACGGTGTAGTTTAAACGAAATTCTGATTAACCCTTTTGCAGTTATTAAGCAATCAATTTGGCACCGGACCTGGCTTAGACGCGAACGGCAGCAACACGGAGTGCATTTCTACCTGGAGACTAAATGAGTGTAATTGGCTTTCGGCGCGCGCTGATGGCAGCTGCTGGAACGTCAGATGGTACTGCATCGCGAGGCCAAGTTTCATTGTGTTCCGACTGAATGTAGTGTTTAGTAAACACAGAAGCACTTCTAACCAGTGTTTGAGTTTCCGCCAACAGAAAATTGAGTTTTCAGCGACAAGCACACACGAGTTTTGTTAAAGCAGGGGGGAAAGGGCGGCCGCTGGGGGGAATCTAGACGAGCATTCTTAGGATGAGTGTTGCTGTCATAGGCAATGCTTGCTAATTTTTCTATCATTACTAACCAGTGGTTTATCGGCATTTCAAAGCAGAAGTCAATGCTACTTCGAATAGCGTTGACCACCTATCGCAACCGATCGTCCGGCAACTAAGTCGAGAGTGCACTATCGCTACTTCAACGAGAACGACGACGAAGACTCTAAGATGATTGTCAATTTTCTACGCCAGAAAAACTAAAGGATGGTTTTCCAGAGGTCCAACTTTTTTGTGTTCACTTCACATCCTTCATTCTCTGGCTGAACGAGAAAAATATAGAACTTTCGCCGTTGTTGTGGTCTTTCAATAGCAGCGACAACGAATCGACGCGAACTACTAAAACCGTGCTACTAAGGTAAAAATTACAGCGTGACGGTGGTAGCCTTACGACTGTGCTGTGCGAAACAGCGTTCCGGCGATGTGTTAGGAGAGAGCATAAAAAAACGTGCCAATGACGCTACGCGCACGCCGCACAAAGCTAATATGAATACCGTGTTTCCATCAGACGGCTGCTTCCAAGCGCGAAAGGAACTGTGCCCACGCCCGCATTCGAATCTAGACCACCACGTGCCCCTAACATCAGTAGTCGAATGCGTTATCCAGTTATTATGGGATCGATTAAACTAATAGTAAGAATTCTACAGACACTTTGTTGACTTCTGCCCGATGCAGTAACGGTGCCTGTTTAGGGGCTAATTATCGTGCGGCCTACTGATTAGTCACTGCTACCCTCGTAATCCGTTGCTGCTGCTCTCGGTTGTGATAGCAGTTCGCAGCAGTCGCAGTAGTGGCCTCGCTGATTAGGTGTTAAGCATCGAACGTGGAGTTAACTGACTCACTGGCACATAACAGCTCAGCTATCCCTTTAGTTACCAATGTAATACGTGTATTCTTGCTGGCGGTGTTTGATTAATAACGAAGTTTTGGCGTATTTGAAGTCGGTCGAAGGTCGATTTCATCCAGGCACGGCAGTGGAATACCGGTACAGCCAACTCAAGCTACAAGCATTGCAAACACGTCAATTGAGAGCTATTGTGACACCAAATAGACTTCAATTTAGCTGCACACAGTGACCCAATCTTAAGGTTAATTCTTAAGGCTCTCAAGCAGCTCAATAAACAAAGTATTTTCCCGAATAGGAGAATGCGGTTTCAATGTTAATTTTACCGCCAAAGCCGAAGCTTATGTAGAGGTGGCACCGTCTTTATCCTCATAAGGTTATGTTTGAGATCATATTTGGTCGCATCACAATCTCTGTTTCAATTGAGAACGAAAAAATGGTACGTCATATAAAGAAGACTATACTTTGTCAATAAATTGTAGCAGTAGCAATAGTATTAGGTTCAAAAATACAGCACTTCCAAAGAGATCGAAAAATAAAAACAGACTGAACCCAAAGACCATCGAGTGTTTAAATACCAACTTGTACCAAGAAAACTCTAGAACAATTCAATGTGTTAATAAGTTAAACGAATGGTTAGCCGATACTGAATAAACCGGAAAGTCTTAATTTTACCTAACTGCTCCTACGTTGCCGGTCGTAGTGATTTGGGTTTTTGAGCAATTTCACCATGATGATGTGGCACTATCGATAAAAAAGTAAACGTGATTGGTACAATTTTTATATTGTTCGATATAGTGCCATCATTTACTTTTCCTTAGCTGACTTTTAGCGGGCATAAAATGAAAGTGTAGTTTCCCCTGCACGTTCACGCCACCTTCGATTTTTTCGTCGAGAGAGTTACTGTCACGGGTCATATATAATTTTAAATGAAATCTGTTAGTATCGAAAGGTGTTACTTTTACACAGATTTGAACTTCTGGAATAGGAATAAGGTAATCCGCTCCTCATGATTTCGTTGTAAAAAAAACGCCCGCTCCGTTTACTGATCTGTTACGCCGTCAAGGATAGACCCCGATATCTAAAACATCCTGTATATGCTCATTTGAGACCGGCATATGCTGCAAGCCGGTTTTCGGTCAGGCACACAGGAGTCACATTAGACGCACGACTTTCAGACCACTGACACTGATTCTGCTATCAGTATATAGTATACAAGTGTTTGTGATAGCTTTGTTCTGCTATTGGGGGGCAGGCAACTGGCCTACGGCAACGACTATGAGTACAACAACACCGACGCTGTCGTAGCCGCTCGTTATTCTGGCGACATACACAGTCAGTAACGGGACACGTCACACCGAGAGGAAGCAACCCGTAAAGGCGAGTATCAGCCAAAGTATAGGAGACCGTGTTGCGCTTGATGCTGCGAGGAGGTCAGCTTGGACGACGGCAGTAGGGTGGTGATGGCTGGCTAAGAGTGGCGCGCAGTTATTGTCATCCAAAGAGAAGGGGGCCGCGCTTGCGACGCAGCGACCGACATCAGTAGTGGCTGTAAAACTAGCAATCGGAAGGAATAGTAAAAGCAGTGAAGGCGGTATCGGCAGTGTTGGTCGCTGCTTCGTATCAAGCCGCCTACTACAAGCAAGCAAGCAAGCAATCATGACTGAGCGAGCTAGCTAGCTAGCTAGCGAGCGGGCGTCTCCAGTGACAATAACATCCGTAATATTACTTAGTTGAATCTGCCAGCTACCAATCGAGTGAGCTCCCGCCGCAAACGACAACACCAGCGGCGACATAGCTATGGCAATATTATGGTAGATATTATAGTAGCAATACGTTTTAAGGTAGTGGCATAGCAGCAGATAGTGGCCGTTACAACGAGAGGCCACTGCAGTTGTCTTTGTTGTTGATCACGATAGTGATCATGATCTTGCTCTCCAACTTTCCTAACTATAGAACTGTGTACGTATGTTTTGCAACAGCAATATCGTGCTTTGCTGCCTGACGATGCCATTCAGCAAGTAGTGGCTACCATAGTCCTTTCTACCAGCTGCGCTAAACAACGATTATTTCAGATCGATCCAGCCATCTAGCCCAGTTACCTATTTCGTCCTGTCAACGGTGATCTTTGGCAAAGTAGCGACTTACTACTACCAGTGCAACAGCAACAATCAACCACTACAGCTTGCGCAGTGACGGCTGGCAGTGCGCGATCCCGTAGAAGGGAATGGTGGCACCAAGCGTCATTTTCGACCTGTTAGCCAGCCAACCAGCACCGTGTGGCGACTCTTATCCGACCACGGCAAGCAGCAGGCAACAGAAGGACACATCGAGGAACAGCGCTGAATAGGACTAGTGACGGCATAACAACATTATCATAAGACAGGTGGTAGCAGGAAGAAGAAAGCCTAGTTCAGGGCCATCGATTGAATCACGACCGCTGGTCACTGCGATGTCGACAACGACATCCGAGGACGCTGAGAGACACAAGACAGCAGCTGCATGCCGCTTGTTAGCACAACGGCAATAAGAGTATGGCAATACAACAAAATACTAGTGCGAAGTAGGAACACATGCGGGAGAGGCAGCAAGCAGCTATCGAACGAGCTTAGTCAACATAACATAGGGCGGCAACTAGCTTGAGTGCCACGAAGAGTCTGGCCACAGCGGCACACAAACGCTTAAAAGGGAAACAGGCCTTGTGACAAAAGCGAAACAGCATACACTGTTACAGAAGCCCTCGAGCCAAACAGGAAGCTTGACAACCTACGCCTGGCTACGATACATTCGAGGTGCTATTTCACGGAAAAAAGAAGGAACATAAATGTGAAGTTCGCGAATGACTATGAAGACCAGAGAATGAGACTAAAAATGCACGAACTTTGGTCGTGGGCTTTGTGTGTACACGGTGCGTGAGTTGTTGCTTTGTTTTTTTTTTCGACGACGATGAGCAGAGTATGTTAAGCAACGAGGAGAGGTAAGTGGTCGATCGGTCGCGGGTGGTGATGCTCAACACCAAGACGACTGTCAACATCCATAGTGGTTATCGTTATTGCAATTAGTGTCTTTAAGTCTACTAATGCCGCTGCTGTTGCTGTTTACCGTCGTGCCACAGTGCATGCACCGACTGCTGCAGTTGAGCTGAGTAGCAGCTTACGCAGCCTGATCTCACTGCAAATTAGAAGCTACGATAGTATCAAGAACAGAAACTTACGTGACAAGGTGTGCTTCGGAGGGTTGTAAACTCATTTTTACTACTTCGTTCTCTAAATTATAGTATAACATCACGACTATTAATGGTTACTATAACATTGTAAGTATACATCTTCACTGCGCTGTCGCTGCCTCTGCAGGCGCCGCAAGACTACTTAGCGGCAATAGAAAAACGTTCTTACGAATAATAGTAAATAGTAAACGTAATAAAACCAATCATAATAGCAGAAACACATCGACAAGAGACAGTACAGGACGCATCACATAAAGGTCACCGCTAAAGTACGTGCGAAATTACAACTGCAGCTCAACAGGACACCGCAAGATAATTTTCGTCATCGTCAGCATCATTTCATCATAGTCGTCGTTATCGGTGCATGATAATTATTAATTAAAACCAAATTATCGTTGTCGTCTGTTCCGAGTACGGCATCCCATTGCGTTTATTGTCGCCCGTTTGTGAGCAGTATCTGTAATCTATTGTCGATATCTACTCTCATTCAAAAAGGAAAGCCTTTATTACTGTTTTCGAGCTTGCTCCGCGAGTTCTTTTAACTGACTCAGTCGACATTGCCAGCTAGCGTTACTCAACAACAACCGCGGTAGCACGCTGAAGTGACAATACGTGAGTGTCGCCGCACTACAGAAAAATGACGGACCAGAAAACGAAGACAGACGACGGGGTAAGGAAAGAGTTTTGTCAGCTCGTTTTTAAGCCATTCCGTTGTTTGCTCTATCGGCTAGAATGCTAGTTTTAGCTTATAAAAAAAAAATGTCCTTTAAAATACAACAAGCAGGTTCTCTCATAAACTAATAATGAATATGCTTTTTGATTGTCTTTTGTATATAATAAATTTTTATCTTCCTCCTCGTCTGCAATTATTACCTATTTCTAGTATTATTACCTGCCAATAGTAAGACTTGAAATAGCACAGCTACTCTGTTACTTGCTCTTATTCGATCCCAATATTAATTTAATCGAGTTTTGCAGTTGCGGGCTGGAATAAGTCGGCCAGTAAAGCTTGGTTGAGTTAAAACTTATATTTTGGCTTTTAAGTTCAATATTACCTTTAAGATCCATTTGAAAAGAATTGCCTTCCTTCAGCTTTCGTAGATTTGACGCCAATTATTTTTAAAATTTTATATATATGCTCAGTGTTCTACCAACGGTAATTCTGTCCAAAGATAAGTCGCGTAAAAACAATTTTAGTCGCTACATAATACGAGCCTTTTCTTTGAGGGTTGTAAGCCACGCAGTCTTGTACCTCAATCGTCTATATATCCGTATAAAGTTCGTATGTAACCATAATCGAAGATCTGGTGTATCCCTTGTGCTTAGAACAAGTTGGGACGATAGCGATATTGCTTGTTTGTAGGCTGTGTCGAAACGAGAATATAATTTTTTTCATATCATAATGCCGACAGGGAAGCCGATCACAAACGCCTTTACCCAGTGTAATTGCCGGTCCCTTTGATACAATACTTCTATCGAATTTAATTTTCGAACTACTTATACTATAATAATATAGGAGAACTATAATAATAAAGGAGTCATAAGGTATTAAGGGCCTAGAAAGGCCAAAAGGTGCAAAAAGTTCGAAAAAAGGCTAATTGCTAAGGCTTATCTGTGCTACTCAATTGCTGATAGAGTCCATATAAATTTTGGAGCCCTGTTCATAAATTTTCAAGTTATCAAGATGCTTTCTAAGAAGAAAAAATTTAAAAATAGTTGATTTGGTTCATATTCACAAGATAAGTCTGGTCCCTTTGCCTCATTGGGTTTACAGTTTTACGTTTATGGAACGAATAGAATAAAAATAGCGGGTGGATGTATGTCTGCTATGATAAATAGCCCATAAAAACATATTTCACTTTATCTTAAATATTTCGTATAAACATATCACCTTTGAAACACCTTAATTAACTTATGGTGCGCGAACGGCTTGCCAATTCTACTTTGCTTCCTCAGCCTCATAGGATATGCATTACGCATACTAGGCACTGATACATAGTAGACATAATAAAGGTGACCAAAAAACGCACGGAATTTTGTTCCGTTGGTGAGTTCAGTATGTTGAAGAGAACATATTGAACTTATGTCTGCAGTTAAAATGTAGACGGATTGCGGAGGGCGTTTACAGAAAAGTATACCATGCCACCAAACGAATATTTAGCTCTTAGGTATTTCGTGTCTTATCATTCCTTCATTGACTCCTTATATAGTCTGCGTACCAGTTGATTTTATCATTGTAATCTCTCAACCCTGAGAATGTAATGCAACCCGGCATGTAGATTAATGACAATTCAAGAATCAGAACTACCTGTATGTATCCACACCTATGAAATCATTGTCGCTCAGAATTTAGTTTTTGTCTTCTTTTCTCTAAAAATAAACCACTTGACTATCAATATCTAGAATTGTCAAGGGCGTTTTCGACATATCATGCATTTTATATTTTCTATCTTGTTGTTAAAATGATGTGCAGCATAAAAGTTGAAAAAAAAAACAAAAGAAAATCGGGGTACTCAGCAGTGATTCAATATATAAAGTGGTAGCAAGTGTTTTTTGCGATCTTAATCTAATGTATTGGCTTCCTACCTGGAGCCTCTCTATTGTCCTCGTTTTACTTATTTTGGCTTAATTAATTATAAGATTAGTTTTGTTATCTGTTTATTGTGTTGGCACCGGTATCGATCAGGTAGTATGTGCATCTCAAAGACCTTCAAGTAAAATACACACGACATATACCAATCCGAGTCACAAAAAAAGTACAGACTTCATTTGCTTCGTTTCCGCCACAGTGACTAACAGCTTCAATACAAATAACTGATAAAAACTGTATTAAGGCTTTTGTCTTAAATAGGGCGTATTATCTCGCGTAGAATGTGCTTAGGGCAACGTCCTCTACTGTCTCGAAAGTACCCGATTTGATATTAGCGTTCACTCTAATATAACTTAATTCAGACTGCGCATACTTACTATGGTTATTTTTACAAACCTTGTAGGACACATGAAGATAACTGGACGATATTCCCATAGAAATAAAAAATTTTGTAACTTTTTTAGGAATAAAATTCAGTGTTCTAATTGCCACAGTGTACAATTGAACTACTTACTCTCACCGGCCTTTATTTTCCGTAAAAAAATAGTTTTCAGTAATTCTAACTATACGTGCTTTTAGCCAGAGACAGGCTAGAACCACAGCTATAGCTATATATTCTCGCTCTGATAATAAAATTCAGCGTATCATTTTTTTATACTGACTATCTCAATACATCGCTTACGACTCCCGGCACGTTTTTCAAGTTCATTGCTGCTCATCAAGTTTAGTACTCGCCAGACGTCAACGGAGTTGTACTGGCCATGGAATCCAGCTCGTTTCATCATGAAGGATCCTAATTAGCATTCTGGATATCTTCAATATTTTAATTTAATAGTAACTATTAAAAGATTGGGCTATTATTAGAACCGATCAAGGCTCTGTCGCCTGAGACTGCGCTGCAGTGTCCTCATTTGTGATGGAGACCTTAAGTACAAATCGGTCGAACGCTTTAGTGTTCTTGCTGCTTCAAAAGGGAACACGTTTCCAGTTAGTCCTAATATGCCCATGCTGCCTTTTCTGTAATTCTCGTTAATGCAGGATCCGTGCCCGATGTTTTTGTGTATAGAAGTGGACCAAAAACTAGTTTTGAGTCGCGGCAGATCTGGTCGCTGGCGCCAACAGGTCACACGCTAGTATAAGCCCTGTACCCAGCTGACAAAGAGCAAAGCCTTTTTTACATTACGTTTCCTTATTGCACAGTTACGTTTAGTACTATGGGGTAACTACAATGATAGTAATTAATCCATAAGTTCTATAAGAGGTATAAATGAAGCCCAGTGCTCTACGTACTCGTATGTTTCAATCAACACCTAATTTCATTGCATCCTTTAATTTACATCCCAATATATTGATTTGACAAAAACTTCACCTGTCGACCTAGGCTTGTAAATTAAGGTCACTCCAATAATCCTTGAGCGATAATCCAAAGATAAGCAACATAACTTGAGAATTCAAAACGAGTTTCTGGTTTTCTTCTTCTAACGGCTTGCCAGATACGATGAAATATAATTACGACCACACCCCAACCAAATGTCTTTAATTTGATTGTTAAGCATGTTGACGATCGAATTCGGTAATTTTTTTTTGCTGTGTGCATTTTTCTAATCATAAAATTATTAAGGCCACATGTCAGTTGGCCAAGGCACTGGTAATTGTTTGTTGAGAAGGGCATCTGCCATCGCTCAAATGTTAATCTGTGTCTTAACTTAGAAACGCATAATAGTTTATTTCCGTAAACCCAAATTAGAGATGGTAGTTATAACGATAGCACAATAAGATCATTACAAACCGTCTAACGACGGACAAGCCACAGATTGGTCGGTCATCTTGTGTCCATGTGACAAATACTACGTGCATGGCATGCGTCCTAGTAACTGGCAGAACTCTACAAAGAACCGCTGCGCGTCCACCTAGGAATTCGAATTCTCACCAATCAATGACAGTAGATTTGTCACTCTAGCTACTGCTGTCACTAATGTAACGGTAGTCGACGGATGAGTTTAGCTTTGACCCTTAAAAAATACGTACATAATAAGTTGAAAGTTATTTTCACTTATTCCAAGGAAATTGACTTCTTGTTGTTATTATTTCTACTATACCTGCCAGGTGTGTTTTAAAAAATATCATTTACTTTTAAATTTTGCGGACAAACAAGTAGTTCAATATGACCCATATTGTATTTAGCCTCACTTAATCTGATCAAATTAATCATTTAGTTTCCTTTATCGGCAAAATATCTTGCACCTGTAACTGCATGTAGACGCATCATTAGCTTTGCTATTTTTGTCCTGTTATTACTTTAATATACCTAATTGAATATGGGAATTCTAGAACTGTAAATGCTCAAAATGTTAAGAGACGATAGTGTAGTACTAGAACGCACCCAATGCTGTTGCTAATGAAGTAAATCTGGAAAAGTTCTCCAGAGAAGGACGAATCAAATCATATTTCATCGTGAAGTTGGGAATTTTGTTGATGGACAATTAACCAATGTAGCTCAACTCCAGGAAGAGTCAACCGAGGAAGAGCTGCTGGAGGAACTCGAAAATCTCCGAACGAAGATCGCCAAGGCGCAGGCGGCGGCCCGTGATGCTGAGCTCAGTACGTACGTCCAGCAGTTCGCTCCCATTCAGGGCCTACGGCTAAAGGGTCGGAAGATTCTTAAAGGGCACATTGCCAAAGTGGTGGCGGTGGATTTCGCCGGAGATTCGAAGTACGTACCCGAATACCTTTATAATAATATGAAATATTATTATCTACACGTATGTTTATACTATAATAGTTTCAAAAGAAATATCCGCCTTATAGTTCCGCCTTAATAGTTAGGCCATAAACGATTGATGCAAAGAACGATCCAACTGATAACTTGTTTAGTAATGACATCTGATAAAGACGTTCAACTTTTAAATGCTGTTTCCCGAAATCAGCGCAGCCATTACCCGAAGAATTGAAAAGCCTGGGTATTCGAACTAATAGTTATTTACTTGAAGTTCTTTATTTTAAAAACGCAAAGAGGGCTGGGGCTCAGATTGGGTGTGCCATATATTAGACTGAAATGTACCAGCGAGAGGTAATATATGTTAGGTAAAAGGCACACGACAGCTGAATACAGCATTTACCTTTACTGTGACAGCAGATGCACACAAGTTCACTTGTTATTATTGGTGTTACGCGTGGCTGTTGAGCTGTTTGCTCCATAGTCGTTTTGGTTGTGTGGGGTTTTTTTTGTCTATTTCAATGGCCTCTACGCGCACGAACCAACTAGAGCCATGTTGAGTAAATTCACCAAAGCGTACTACTATTAACCACCGACACTACTCTTGCGAAATTCTAACACTTGCGACATTTTCATCAAGGTATACCTGAAAAAAATATTCGGTAAATCCTACCCCAGAAACGACAAGTGCCTTCGGCCTGGCCCGGCTTGTAGTTGCTTAAGGATCTGAATTATTGCGACTCTGTCGGCATTACGATTTCTGTCTACACACATAAGATCTACTTTTAGGATATGTTCGCATTGATGATTGGTGATACTCGCTTAGTAGGGTAAATCAGTCAGTTATTGGCGCAGACCAACGGTAAATCTTTGCCATGGCTCAAAAAAAACGAAACACATTTTTAGGTCTCTCCTTTATTCTCCTTCTCATTCTTCAACTCAGTTTCATCTTTTCTACTAGCTTCTGTTTTCGGACGCCTCCTTTTCCGGACAGTATTCCTCATACAAGAGATACTACTATGCTATCGGCTTGCTCACTTTCAGCCGTGATCCGCGTGAAATTTGACATAGTATCTGAGTCGTCGGGACAAGCAGTCAGTGACGCCGTCGTCATCGTCGTCGTCGTCGTCGTCGTCTGTACAGAAACGATGCTTGGAACCCTATCCCACGTGCTGCCGGTAGTCTTCTTCTATTTGCTGCTGCTGCTGCCGGGTTCTTCAGCATACAGAGGGCGTTATTCAAGGGAGTATTCAAGCTGGTGGGCTGGCCAGTCGGCAGCTGGCTCTTTTGCTGCCCAGCACCGGAAAGCAGCAGAACCCGAACGAAAAACAAGAGAAACTGGCGGCTACTGTTGGAGCAACGCGGTCTGCAGCGGAGCCGCAAAACCTTTCGGGCCACCAGAGGGAACGGCCGCACCACCACTGGTCGTAGTAGAGAACATGGTGGACGGGGCAAGGCAGCAGCATCTTTCAGCGACCCCTAATCCCTCCGGAGATTGAGGAGGAGAGGAGGTGGCAGCCACTGACGGCAAATTCACCGCTTAAGGTGCAAGTTTTGCTTACGTTCGGGGAGCACAGGGGGTAGCCCTTATACAGCACTATGCAGCGCAGAGTGCTAAGCAGCGTTCTCAGAACGACCATTAAGGAAAAGAGAAACAAACACGTGGCTCGCAGAAGCCAAACAGCTCCATCAGCGCCCACGGTTGCGTTTTCCTAACCACTTACCGTTGGGACCGCCACTGCTGTGACCGGAACCGCCGCTGAATATGGTAGCTTCGCAAACGTTCTGCGAAATCTCGAAGATCCACCAGGCTGAGGTTGGGGTAGATTGAGTTTTAGCGGATATCGGGCAAGCTGGCAGCCAATAGACACGTATGGTAAGCTTCGAGACATTTTCAGCATGTGTGTGTGTGACGTGACGGAGTCGACGTACGGGGTAGCGACATTAGCGGATCGGTGGGCGTAAAAGCTATTTACACTCTATAGGTAGTCACACAGGACACATTCAACGAACAGATACCTAGAAATGCTTGGTTAACTCGACATCCCTCCTCGAATCTTTCGCCCGCTTCTGCGACTCTCCAAACTACAAAAGCGTATATACACAACTCAAACACACCCACATACACACACACACACACACACACACACACACACATACACACACACACACACACACACACGTATACACACGCGGAGGGAATCATGGATAGAACACCGAGAAGGGTAAGTGCTGCAAACATTGGATCAAACGCGGCAGCACCAACGGTAGCAGAGGACGCCATGAAAGTAACTGAGGGGCTTCGTGTGGGCGAAAGCCGCCACCAGCCGGGTGAAAGCTTTCCAACCCAAGCAGGATTCCAAGGCTGGCTTGCAGTCTAGCGTGGCTAACAGCTCAGTCGACTCTAATCGAGCTAGTAGAAGCGCTGCGGTCTACCGTTTATCAGAACGAATGACAACGGCTGACTGGCTCCAGGCGACGGATAAAGGACTCACCTGACAGGGAAGCCTAGGTGTGAGAAAATAGAAAATAGGCGAAAGGCTGAAAGAACGGTTAGACAATAGTAAAACAATTCTGGTTTAAATTGGCGGAGGTGCGCTGGGAAGGAAACTTTCCAATATATCATTTTCGTCATTTGTGTCTATACGTATATTGTCGTTGTAGATGTGTTCTTTTTTGGCTTAGTCTTTGTAGAATTCATGCTGTCGAACTAGGTGATTGGTCTAATTCAAGTTAGCATTGAAGTTATCAGTCGACAGTTAACTAACGTGCGCACAAAGTACTTTTTAATCTACAATCGTCAATTAAATCTTTGTATCCTTAAATTAAACCATTTTACATTTGTGTCATTAGTCTTCTGGTGAAAGGAATAAAGCAAAACGTTACACCAAAATTATCTGTAGTTGCTGATGCTCGAAATGAAACAATTTCCTAGGGTATTCTTACAAGAATAGCAACAACGTTAGTTACTCAACTACTTTTTTTTTTTGATTTCGTATTACAAGTGATGAATATTAACAACATCTAACGTCCTTAAACAGTCCGTTTTTACTGTATCAGCAACGGATCGTTTCAACTTTGACAGCTACAATATCAAGCTGCGGCTTCCAAGTTTTTTCTTCTTCTGGAGTAGGAATCCAGACGGATTGACAGTTAACAGTGAAACGTCCAGCTCAGCATTACTGTGAGTGCCTTGTTGTCATGTGTTTTGTGCCACCATATTTTATATCAGCGCGATGCATCGTCGCAGAGTGACTAGCCACCCCAACTAGCGCGACGAAAACGCAGAACCAGCCGATAAAGATGTAATACCCGGCTAAGGTGGCCTTGTCTTAGTTGTGCTGTTGTTAATACAGACGAGTGAAGTCCAGCGTGCGACGTTCGAGAAGAGCCGCTGAATATCTACTGCCTGCCGCCACTGCCGTATTCTGTTGGCATTAGTGATATTACCACTGCTAGTCTACCTTTGATCAAATGATGATGAATCGTCGGCGGGGCGTGCGTAACATTATTGTTATCATTGTTAGGGTTCTGTCAACATCTGCATTATACAGCCAAGTGATTAGTGTGCGTTCGTCAAAGCGGCAGCCACTGCCGCCGCCGCCGCCGTCGCTTGCTCCGCTTATGAACGCAACAGGGTGTGACCTCAATAGTCGGGAGGACGAGAGTCGTCACGACATGGCCAATACATATACCGGCAGGCGAAGTAGTACGTAGGCGCTAAACTTTAAGCTAGTAAAAAGGCGTAGAAGACATGCGGCAACCGCTGAATAGCGTCCCATCATATCGCTGATGATAAGATAAATTACTGTCAGTATCGGCAATGCGTCGTTGACGTTCTAGCTATAAACCTCATTTCGTTGCTGGTGACGGCAGCAAACGGCCCACAACAACAGCGCTGCCTGAGCAGATCAGACGCAAGAGGAGACTAAAATGAATGCATTCTTGCTCCAATATCAGCAATTTAAATGGTCTCTAGTGATCGTCCGAGTTTGCTTATATGTATCTCTCCGGTTCCCTTCCAGCGATTGCTGAAGCTGCGTACTTGATGCCGATTGCCCAACACTGAAGTGTCAATGGCCACCGCGTCGACTGGTGGATTGGCTGGCAGCTGACTGCAGCTACAGGCTTAGTACGCTTTACAAACAGAACCTGGTAAGGGATCTAATCGTCGTAAAGTTGGCATTAAAATTCTTATTTTGGCCATGGTCATTGGCAGTAGCTATTTTGGTCGCGCTAATGTCTGTACCCTACCGCAGTTGGGCGCGCTGCTGTTGGCAGGCGTTAACGAGCTCGTCGCCGTACATGCTCGTAGCTGTACGCAGCATGTGTGAACGGCCGACGTAAAATCAGAGCGTCCTTCTTTTTTTGTGCGCTGGCTCCACTTGTCAATACGGCGACAGTAATAGTTATTATGTACATATCCTCATGGATCTTTGTGTCGAGGTCAACAATAAAAAACACTTCTGCCGGCAACAGCAGTTGAGGCGTTACCAAAACCAATGTATAGGCTGCATTCAGCCAAGTGTAGTGGCTGTGCCATCGTTCACTGCACAAGCCAGCTCTCCTATGGATGTAACGCAATGTTGCGTATTTATTTGGCTAAAGGATCGAAGCTGAAACCAATTGAGTTTAGACGCAGTCTAGTAGGAGTATTTACTTGCCTGCCACAGTTAGCAGAGTGTTTGCAACTAGCAACCTATGCTTGTACTATATTGTATGTACGGCTGTTGCCGATATTTGTGCACTCCACTTTATTATAGTTCATAGCCGTAATCTATAGTTTTAAGCCGACCTGTCGACAGATTCTCATTGCTATGAAGAAGCGCTATGACACCCACAATTAGTACAAGTTAGTAGGTGGTGACATGCTGCTGCTGCTGCCGGAGACAGGCCATCGTCCTCTATCGTCTATAGGACAAACATGATCACCATCATCAAACGAATATGGTAGTACTAGCGGCGGGTCAATATGCCTCATAAGAAGAACATCATGCGATCCATGTGCTAGGCTGACTGTTAGCTGACGAGCTTCTCAGCGAGACTGGTTGGTCTCTTGGGCTGACGCGAGCCGTGACGACAGCACAGCTCGGCGCGCTACCACTGTCACAGGAAGACTCTATCCGATTTGTGTTATACAAAATACTTACGGGGGAGTTATACTCAATCACATGTAGAGCAATAATAACAGAAAAATTTAAAAAAAAAAAGCCTGCAAAAGGCAGGCAGCAATTTATCTTGAGATTTTTAAGCTATTCAGAGTATTGCTGTTTTTTTTCGTATAAACGCTTTCATCATGAAGGGGCATTGTTGTCTACGTAGTAGACAAAAGTTCAAAGTCGTAGACAAAGTTGCAGAAATTAGATTTGGAATTTCATTCAAACCGGTAAGCTATTATATGTTTTTGAGCTGGGCTCGACAACATCAGAGAGTATTGATTTATATTCTCGTTTGCGATACTGTTGCTAATAGATTAGTGGGTACTTACAGTTCGGAACCAAGAGACGGCCGGACGAAAAGCAATATCAATGTAAATTCTTGAGCAAATTTTTAACACTCGATGGTGAGAGTTAGCATGGACTGTCTTCATATCAAAGCGAATATACAAGCGTCAGTACATCCCGGTAGACAAGCATCTTTCAGCAGAAGTTCATCTGCTTGTTCTGTAGCTGATAGCTCTCAGTTGTTCCTTTTTCGGCAGTTCTCAATAGCCTATCAATCAGCGAGACAATGCTACAGTACAGCAATTTCTTCGAGGATCTGTCCGTATAGGGCAAGGCCATTGGTTAGTCACTGTTGATTCACCATTTTCACTGGAGGATTAAAATGCATCTATGCCAAGATTCGGATCCAAACCACTTCTGTGTCCCTCGAGTTAGCACTGCATTATCCTCGCGAGGACTGTGTAAAAAATGGATTCAAACGAATTCTATCGATTCAACAACAGACTTCGACAGCACGACTCGTTTAGTACATATCTGATCGATCTTGTTCTATATTTTGATAGCTCAATTTGTGTAAGCGGAGTCTGATACATTCAGTATACGCTTTATGTTAATGTCTAAAACAAATGAACTTCTTCATATTCGACTTTCAAAAGCTTCATTGTAACGCAATGGCACCAGCTTATCATCACTTAACGTGGCACTACTCATAGAAGACCAAAGTGACAGCTGCAGCGCTTTTTAATTTGGCACCCGATTATCAACGAGGTCGTTTACAATAACCGGCTCCCCGTCTCAAACCGTTTAATTGACTCCAGTCCGCGACGAGAGTGAAATCGACAAGATGTCAGATCTGCGTCGGAAATGTCTTCCAGAACAATACATAGCTGACTCGCATCATTAACTAAGCTTTTAAGATACGCGACGAAACGTTTAACGCGGGAGATGATAAAGATGACGAAGATACCGCGGGACGGATCAAACATCACTGAAAGGAACGAAGAAAGTGAAATGTGTGACCTTTTGAGAGCTTACTTCGTGGGCCCTACGCATTCAGTCGTGCCAGAACGTGATTGGGTGTTTAGCAAGTTAACAATCCGGATGCATCAGCTAGTTTAACAATAAATTATACAACTGAATTCTTAAATTACTTAGATTTTATTATTATTTTTTTATTATTAATTAATTAGGTTACTCTTCAAGAGACATATGCTTTGTACCAGGCACGTCTAAAACATCGATGTGCTATGCGAAAGCTACGAAAAAGGGCTGACTCAATCTATTCGTCAGCGGAACATTTTGCGTAATAATAAAACGAGCGTTGATCAAAGTAATACCTTGTGGAAAGGAACACTGCTTTTTAACGATATTGATCTATCGAAAAAATTCGATAGCCTGTTGCTGTTGACATGGTCTAGTACGGCTTAGAAACTGCCTTCGATATCATACCAAACCCAAATTGAGAGGCAGAGACGTTATTTAATGATTATCGAACCTCTTAAGTAATAGAACTTCTGCTGTTTAAATATGATACGTTTTTTTAGGTTTTGGAAATATACCTACGATGTAATATGGTCATGGAAAGTAAAATCTAAGTTGTGTTTACCAGGGCTGCTACAGCCTGTATCTAGCTAAAAAATTGGTTATATATGCCAATGATGTGGAACCGTATACACCCACAACCAGTGAGAAAAATGCGAAGTTACTTAGAAAGACCCGCGTCGATTTTTCAATATAAATTCAAAGGATGGCTTTAAAGCTAAAAGCGTATTGGCAGGGACCGACGAATATAGGGGTAAGGAATTCAACGCACAATTAGATACTTGATGAGCAAAACATGCATAAACTAGGTAGCGTAAAAAATTTAGGTGTTCGATCCTTGTCGACTCTCAATTTCGCTTAATAGCTCTAAGAACTGTGACTTATCAGTACTCTCAACTTGAATGCAACTGGACATTGAGGGTACTTAGTGTAAACAATAGATGCAACCATCAAACTTGATAACTCTTATGTCGCCCACTGCTTAGCACATTGGAAGCATGACACCTTTTATATGTTGGAAGTTTTTCTTTTCCGAAAAAAAATCAAAAAAGGTTTTTGCAGGAAGTTAGGAAGAAGAAGAACTTAAGTGTGGCATATACCGAGGTTCAGGCGAGATGGTATCGGTTAAGGGTTGAATGAAGGCTGCAGACCTAGCACAGCATTTTCAAATAGTGAATAATAAGGAGACGTAAGTTATAATGTTTACTCTCAATGGAGCATATTCGTGAGTACAGCTTATACTAAGATTGAAGAAGACCGGAAAATTTTCATAGGAAATCTAGGTTTAAGCTTTTGTCTATGGCGTTGTAGTTAAGCCCTATAAACACTGAAGCTGAGTGAAAGTAATTCGACATATAGCAGCATATACAGCTGTTATTTTTAAATAATAAACATAACTCTATTTTGAGTTATGCTTGTTGTTCAATGTGGAAAGATGTAGTGCAAAAAAGATCCGAAATGTATTAACCTCACTAAAAATATGAAAGTGAAGTAATAAGTTAGAACGCTGGAAATGCAGGTTCCATAAAGTTCTGTGACATCATCGATCGGGTCAAGTGGCAAATGGCACAATTTTGTACTTCAGAAATTGGTTACGTGCGGAGCCCATGCGTTAGAAGACAACCTAAAAGGCGACAAAATTGTTTGTCAATAACGCTGGACTGTGCAGCTTATTCCATATCGTTGAATTATTATGTTTAATATGTATGTGTAATAAAATATGTGACGGACATATTGCGTATATATACAACATATATATTACATGTATGTACAAATGTAAAATGAAAGCTCTCAAATTGTCAAGTGACTTTTGGCTCTATATATATATATATATATATATATATATATATATATATATATATATATATATATTACATATATAAAGTTGAGGACGTGTGAGGTAATTTAAGTTACACCTAGTTTCGTGCTGTAAAAAAGCAATGCTTAATGGCACTAGCACTTGAAACATTTGCTTGTTATTTAATATTTGATAACTGTTCTCAACAAGGATCATACGATTGTCTCTATTTACAGACATGCGGTTTCAGCTTCTCTTGACGGAAAACTGATGATATGGGACACGTGGAGTGGTAATAAGGTGACTAGATTTTTCTCAGCCCGAAAATGAATTTCAGATATTACTATCTGAGTATTTTATAGTATTATCTGTTGTTACAACATGTTCTGCATTTAACTTGATCTGTGTTGTACCCATGTGGGAGCTCTTGCATTTTTACTTTTGTATCTACGAAAAGATAATTGCCATAGATCTCGAAAGGCTTGGTCAAGCTATATCACGTTTAGTAGGTTACAAAGGAAAAGAACTCGAAATTTCAAAGCGCTAAATTACCTTTGGCAATTGGAAGTGTTTCCAACTATTTTCGTACGTATGCTCGTTTTCTACTTCTTGGTGAACTTAATCAATAATTTATAATAATCAGTAAAATGTTTGTTGTAGCGTTTAATATCTAAGGGCATAAAGGCATACAAGAGAAAAAGTAGTAGTCATTCTTGGCCTATTCTTAGTTGTGTTCTAAACAAAGGTCATGGTATAATAATGCTCCTATTCTGTATTCCTATTTGCCAGTTTAGTATCATTTAAAATTAAAAGAATTGAGAAGATTCTCTTTTTTTTTTCGTCCGCTTCAAATTCCAAATGATTTCGTGAGACCTTGACCTTAACCTTCGTTTATGTTGGCGGGCTTCTGCCATAGCCAGAGACGCCGTCTTGTGTTGTCCAATGTCTCATGTAATAATAATATAGGGTGAGCTGAACCCGATAAATGTTGTGGTGTTATCAAGCGCCGGTTGATGCTTGATTCAAGTCACTCGTATTTCGGCCGATAACACTGACGATTTTCTAATGTATTCGCACGTAATAATTAAAGAAAAACATAATATTAGGAAAATGTTGATTTTTCTGATCTGTGCGATTTTGATGAACCTTTTAGATACATTGACAGCGGATAAACGGTTACGCTTTACTTGAGCACAGACAATAGTGCAAGAAATTAGATGTTCAGCCTCAAATGGATCGTAGTTGATTGTATAGTTCTACGCGTCTAATCCTGTATAGTACATTGGAGTAAAAACTTGTTCGCAATATTCCGCTAGATATGTACAATATCCGTTGAGAGCTTCCGTTCTCCGCAAATTATTATATAGTGAAGTATAACACGTGCAAGAACTGACATAAAAACAATCGAATATGACGCTGTTTAAATGGGTATAGACAGCTCATGTATGTCTAAGTGGGCGAATTGTAAGGCAAAGTGAACTCACGGCGTTCTATTTTAAGCCAGTAGTTAGCAACGCCAAGGAGTACGTCGTTGTAACAAAAGATGTTATCTCGCCAAAACCCTTCTTCTCAGAGCGTGACCTTATATCTATACGTCGAATGATTGTTTTATTATATTGCGTTACCCGTTAAAGTAGCAGGGTAGGTTCTTAACTAAAATTAAATAATACATACATTGAATTTATGCTGAATTCACGAATTCGTTGGCAGGTCCGAATCATCCCAGTACGCACAACATGGATTATGGGTGCGGCCTTCGAAAGTTCGGGTCGTTTTGTGGCCGTGGGTGGTATGGATAATATGTGTACAATTTACGATTTGGACAAAAAGTGGACAGGGAGCGGTGCCGGAAGCGAAGGTGGCGGTGTTCTGGGCGCTGCACTCGTCCGGGAACTGGCGGGTCTTCAAGGCTACCTCAGTTGTTGCGTGTTCGTGCACCAAGACCGAATTATTGTCGGCTCCGCCGACACAAAAATGTATGATGAGGGGTAATTTGTGGAATTCGGAGTTTAGCTCCGCATTATTTCAGCGCTATTTAAAAGTGTAAACGCAACTTGAAAAACCCATAGTTCACGAATGGAAGAAAGGACTAGAAATTAAAGCTTAGATTGCGTCATAAATAAAAAAGAAGTTCTATAAAATTAGCTCAAATTCTCTCTTCCCATGAATAATTAAAATAAATTTAATATACATGTAAAATATAGCTGACTGAATGATTTAAAAATTATAACGTTAAATATAGCATGGCAGTATATATGTATATATAACTAGTGTCCAGTTAACTTTTTTGTTGTTACCATCGTTCTTTACAGCTATGTGTTCGATATCCCAAACGGCCGCAAGTTGCAGGAGTATACAGCGCATGACGCCGACGTCATTGGTATAAGCGTTCAACCTGGCGATACCAATGTGTTTGTCACCGCATCGATGGATAAAACGTGCAAACTGTTTGACTTGCGACAACCTGATCAGTGTCGACAAAATTTTGCCGGTCATGAATTGGACGTGAACGATGTCAGCGTAAGTCACGCCATCCATTCTTTTTCACACACGGCATTTTATACGTAAATATGAAGAAGCCGAAGACAATACACCCGCAAGACAAAAGACAGATCTGATTCATTTCTATTTCCTAGATCGCTTGAAAGTTCAGATGCGCAACTTCCTACATAGCTTTCTACAATGAAGAACTGGAATATAATTTATAACTTGTAAACAGGCCTGAGGTGCCTAAGATGAACTCGAAGGCGAATTCACTACTCACATGTTTTACACACACGGTCGTGCATCCACAGCTTTAGTAATAGTAAAACGAGCTGGACAACCTCGTCTGCGTAACACCTTATTCATTACTATGAAAAAAGCATGCTCACTACTGTTCTTAGCATACCCTAATAGCATTGGGGATGATTATAATAATAATCTGGGTTGATCCTGCGTTGCAGTTTCAAAATAATGGCCACATGTTTACGTCATGTTCAGAGGACAAAAGCTGTCGCCTCTTTGATATCCGTTCCGACATCGAAGTCGCATCCTTCTGGGAACCCGCCAAACAAGCGGCCTTCACTTGCGTGGCCAATTCGAAATCTGGTAAGGACACTTACACACATATCTTTGGGATGAGTAATTATTTATCCATTAAAACGTACATTCATCATAGTTCCAAAATATCATATCGTAGAATCTACAAAACTGTGAATTAAATAAAACGGCGACAAATACCTGTTCTTAGCACCGAGCAAAGGTGGATTGTTTTACATATACTTAAAGCCAAGGTGACTTGCCTTAAACCTTCTCATTGAAAAAAGCTTAATAGATTTTGATATTTTATAATGTAACTTCGAAAATAGCTGCCCGTGATAGTAAATGCCAGGGCCTAATTATAAGGAATTCTATGGTAGGGTTGAAGCCATTGGTTTATAGGCCAACATTCCGTACACTTTTTTTCCATAATTTGAATTTTCAAAAGAAGAACGTTAGTGAGAAATATACAGGTAGGTTACTTACATATATTGCACGTTAGTTTAGCTCATATAACGTTGGGTGACTTCCTAAACATTCAGTTCTGCGGTTCTGCGTACTCTGTCTATATTCACAACTCTTGATTTTCAAGTGAGCTCGTCCCTTTAGTAACTACGCCCTAAACACAGATGCTAACCCATATTTTTGTGCCCACACTAAGTAACTAATTCTTTTTCCTTAACAGATTTCCTCACTTAGTACTCATACTCGAAGAATGAAAAATTTTCATTTAATACTTTGTCTATCTCTTTTATGTTTGGTCGATTGTCCTCGATTTCAGGACGCCTTCTTCTGGCTGGCGCGGACGACGATACTGTACACATATGGGATATTGTCGGCGGGTCCACACCCGAGGAGAGTCATCTAGGAAATTTGTGGGGCCATGACGGTCGCATATCGTCAATGTCGATGGCACCAAACGGTATGGCCGCGGTGACTGCCTCTTGGGACAGTTCCGTGCGTATTTGGGCTTAACAACTGACGCTCTCCATGTCATCCACCCCAAATAATAATCCCACAAAAGGAGACTGAGATATCGGTAGACATCTTCGGGGGGTGGTATGCAGACAGCCAAAAACGGAGGTAGATCGTGCACTGTAACCATGTCAGCCGTTTGCGTTGAGCAAGGCCAGCAGCATCGTTTGCCCTACTTCTAATACTGCTAATATTTATACTAATATGGCTGCTTGAGCGTCGTGAAGCCTCCAGAAGAATATCTGCTCACTCACCTCTATATAGCCCATAATAACAATAATATCCCTGAAAAAAGAAATTCGAGAGAGAAAGAAGCTGATAAAATGGAAATCGAGTCCACCTCCAGCCAACAAACTAGACTAAGTAGGAGAAAGCCCATTTGCGTCTCGTCGACAGGAACCCGATTCACTCAGTCCGTCTCTTTGACCGTTCGGTAGCCCATGAAGGTGTTGAGAATAAAACAAAAATCTTTTTAGCGTCAGCTAGAATTTAATAAAAGCTCAAGAGCAAGAGGGAAAGAAAGTAAATGGCAGGCGGGGGAAGCAAATACAATCAAACAGCAAACGAGAGTAGTGGCGAAGGCACGATATATAGCACGGAACAGCGCAGGTAGTGATACGCCTTATGCATGTGGATCATGTGTACGCTTCCACAACGTGCACACCGGCCAAAGGTGAGGTAAAAAATTTGTAGCTTTGGAATCGATTAGACGTTGTAATTTATTTTATCGTCGGTGTCCATTATATAGGGTCGAAAAATATAGTTTACACGTTTGTATTGTTTACATTAACATCTACATTATAATATACGTGTGTAAATATAATATTATAATCGTAAGAAGTTTTCATATGATACGACTCCGGTTTTCTTCCATTTAAATGAAGAAAATCATATTTTATGAAATAAA